CGTGATCTTTTTCAAGGGGAATCCCGCTGATTTTAGGACACCGAAATTTGAGATATCGATTCGCTGGCTGAATCCAGATCGTGCCCGCCTGAGAGAATGTCGTCAACATAAGTTTCGTTGACTAAAATTGCTGAGCTTCGTTGGGATTTTTGTTGTGTGCCTTTGGCCAATTGATGAAGTGTTCTTATGGCCAAATAGGGAGCACAGTTAACTCCAAATGTAACTGTTTTTAGTTTAAAGTCTTCTATCGGACTTTAGGGGGATCGGCGGAATAGGATTCGCTGGAAATCCTGGTCGTCCTTATGGACGTATATCTGGCGATACATTTTTTCAAGGTCGCCATTGAACATATACTTATATAACCTCCATTTGAGAATTATACGCATTCGATAATTTTGGAGTACGGGTGCAGTACGTCATTGAGTGAGATGCCGGAGTGAGAGAGTTTTGACGCATTAAAAACTACTAGGATTTTAGTAGTTTTACTATCAGGTTTACAGCGTAATGTGGCAGGTAAAATGAGAAATATTTACCATCACGTATGATTTCGCGAGACTTTGTGGGCTCCATGTGGTCTAGAGTTAACTATTCTTCGAGGACCTTTGAATATGTGGTTTGGAGTTCCGCTTTCTTCTCGATGCTCCGTTCAATGCTGAGGTATTGCTGCTGTGCTGCGGGTCTGGAGTGCCCTAGTGCGGTTGAGTCGGGAAATGCTGACTTGAATGGGAGTTTTACTACGTATCGGCCGTCTTCTCTCCGATAGGTAGTATTTTTGTAGAGCTCCTCACAAAATTCATCATCGTATGTGTGAGTGGGAGCCGATGGAACCTCCTCTTGTTCCCAAAACCTTTTGAGTAGATCTCCTAGGGAATCTGCTGAGCCTTCAACTACCTGGGTGGAAAATGTTGAGATTTGTTCCGCAACGGCGCCACTTAATATCCACCCAAAGATGGAATTTTGGGCTACTAAGCTTCCACCAACTTTGGTTTTGAGACCTGGAACGAGTATTTTGGGGAGCAGGTCGCTACCAATTACCATGTCTATCCTGGCGGCTGCGAAGCAGTTGGGATCAGCTAGAGGCAGTGAGGCGTGTTCTTGGAGATCAACGTAGGTCACCTTGAATGATGGTAAAAAGTGCGTCAATTGGGGAGTATTATTGCGTGAGTTGCAATTTTTAGGGTGAGATCTGGAGAACATATTGTGAGTGAGCAAATTTTGTTCGTATTCTGGACTGTTCGTCCGCCCATTCCTAATATTTCAAAGTTTGTTTTGGTTGTGGGTAGACCAAGTAGCTTTTGTACACGATAAGTTACAAAAGTCTTTTGGGATCCTTGGTCTATTAGAGCGCGAATTTGAACGGTTTCTCCTTTGTGGAAGATCGGGATATTTGTCGTAGGGAGTAAAGTTCTTTCTCTACTACTTGATAAATGTGAGAGCACCTCATCTTTATTGCTTTGAGATGCATTTTCTGCGGCGGCTTGGGTAGAGGTACATGGCATTTCATTGTCAATGGTCACGTGAGATGTGACGTAGTTTTAGTGGGGTTTTTATTGTTTGACGTTTGGGATTTTGCTGGGAAATGAAGGAGAGAGTGGTGTCGCTTTTGGCAATACACGCAAGTGAAGTTGCTTTTACAATCTCTCTCTGAATGAGAGTACGCCAAACAATTTTTGCAATAACTATTTTCTTTCACAAACTTATTCCGATCAGGGATGGATAGTTCCTTGAATTTTACGCACATCATCATTGAATGATGGGAATTGCATAATTTGCATGAGACTGGCTTTTTTTGTTCACTATGGAACGATTGAGTCTTGTTCCGGAAGTTGAACGATTGAGAGGCCGTTGATGATGCCGGAGGAGTGAAAGTGGGTTGAGGCGGTTTTGGTTTATTCGGCCTGTATGTGCTAAGCCGTTCTACAACTTCGTATCGAGTTGTTAGAAATTGGCCCATTTCTTTTCTTGAGTTTAGAGATTGCTCCCACACTGCTAGGATTTCGTCTGGGAGTTTTGAGGAGCAGAGATATATGAGCATTGGGTCCCATNCTGGATTGCTTCGTTAGCTGCGTCTACCAGAGCCAGGTATTTGTTGAGGTGCTCCAGATATGTTTTCAGTCCTGCCTCAGTGTGGTCCGTTTCGCTAATGCTCCACCACTTCTCGCAATATTTGTCCAGTCTCGAAATTTCATAAATGAATTTTTTATGATTGTAAGCGATTTCATCTTCTTCGGCTTGGGATTTTGACCTCGTTCTTATGCCTTGCTGGGTGTGAAGGGTTTGGGGTTTTTCCTGGTTATCTTCTGCCATAATTAGTGATTTGAGGGGTTAATATGCGTGTATAAATCGATTCCTTGAGACTTTGAGTAGGTAGGNCTCGTTCTTATGCCTTGCTGGGTGTGAAGGGTTTGGGGTTTTTCCTGCTTATCTTCTGCCATAATTAGTGAGTTGAGGGGTTAATATGCGTGTATAAATCGATTCCTTGAGACTTTGAGTAGGTAGAGAAAATATTTGGGTGTGTGTGTTTTATTATATATATGTGAATATAATTTTTGTGCGTATATTATATACCACACTATATTGAATATATATATATATCTATATTTTTGCTCGGCACTGTCTTTGGATCGTTGCTATTTTTCTGCTCCTTACTGTCCTGTCTCAGCGCATCTGAGTACAGTAACCGTTTATAATATTGGTATAGGAGTATACGTGTATATATATATTGTATATACCTTGCACACAAATTTTGTTTGCTANCTGCTCCTTACTGTCCTGTCTCAGCGCATCTGAGTACAGTAACCGTTTATAATATTGGTATAGGAGTATACGTGTATATATATATTGTATATACCTTGCACCCAAATTTTGTTTGCTAGTGCAGTTAGCTCAGCTTATGTATACACGTTTGTGTGTATGTACGTATGTAACCCACTAGCTGTGCGATGCTAGTGCAAATAGCGAATAAGCGGGAGATGCAAAGGGAGGAAAATCACTGTGGAGTTGGAGCAGTATAAATATGTACACGTATATATGNAGTGCAGTTAGCTCAGCTTATGTATACACGTTTGTGTGTATGTACGTATGAAACCCACTAGCTGTGCGATGCTAATGCAAATAGCGAATAAGCGGCTTATATACCCAGTAGTAAATTGAGGCATATCTTTCAGCTGTGATTTGTGATTTGCNGTATATATGTAAATACGTATATGGTTAATATATATGCCCGGGTAGGGGGAGATTTAGCGGTCGCTTGGCTTATATACCCAGTAGTAAATTGGGGAAGTATATTATACGTACGAGTGTACTTTTTGGAAGGTTTTTTGGCGGCAGTTAAATATATGTACATATATACGTATATCTAGTGTTATTTCGGGATTTATGTACGAGAATATGTATTTATACTTAGCGGATATTATTTTTTGAGATTGTATAGGGCAGTAGGGAAAAGCGCGGGAATTTCATATATAAATGTTAATATAAATTTGCGCAAAAATGAGCGGTAAATCAAATTGAGGGTTCTTATTTTTACCGTCTTTGGGGTCCGCTAAATATATATACGTATATAAGTGAGTTAGTTTAGCGGTTTTTTTTTAGGTTAAAATCAAATGCGCGGGAGTATTCGCAAAAATTTATGTGTTCAGCGTTTATGTGAGGGCGTTATTTGATGTACGATATATGAAGAGGGGATGTTTTCATATACGGTTTTGGGGAAATCCGCTAAACTCTTTATATAAATAAGTAAATTAGGCACTTACTTTGGCATTCCTCTTTTTTTTATTACAAACCGCTGAGAGTATTTGTGTGTGGGTGCTGACTGTGCTGCTATTATTGTTGTGCTGTGCGACGTCTTCTGGGCAACTTGCCGTTGCTGTTGCTGGGCGGTTGTTTGGCGGCTTTTATGTGGCTACTTGCTGTTTTTGTTGAGCGGCTGAGTTCGTCTTCTTGCTACGGTTGTTGTTGCTTGTTGGCCAATTTGTAGACGGGTATGGCTTTTGTTTCGCACACGTATTTTATGCCAATTTTTTTTTTTTTGTTTTATGTTTTTGTTATATGTATTTGCAATTTATTCCTTCACGTATGGCCAAATTTGTCTTGTTGTGTTTTGTAAATTTGTTTAGCCTTTTTTTCTAACTTAATGCAACTGGCACTTGTTTGTTTCGCTTTCTGTGTATGCACTTGTATATGGGTGTGTATATACCGAAGATTACGTTTAATATTTTTAAAATTTTAAATTTGTTTTTATGAAGATATAACTTTTTTTGTGTTTTAATGCCACTATTGCAGTTTTATTTGTTTTAAGGTAAGTTCTCTTTTTCGTTTTCTTTCAATTTGTATTTTTCTTTATTTTCAGCGACTGGTTTTTCTGCACCCCAAATTACGCAGGTAAGTACTTATCTCTACGCACGTACAGATGTACATACATATATGTAAATATTTAACACAATTTTTGCGACGCACCGAACTTGCACCCGCTATTCACAAATAAGGATTTTTATAATTTTAGTTTTTGAAAAAATGAATTTGTTTTATATTTGTTTTTCTATTTATATAATTTGCACTTACGCGCGCGAACCACGGGATTGCGTTTTTTTGTTCTCTCGATTCTTTAAGTGGGTTTCGGCACCATGTTCACTTTCGCGTGAATAAAAGGGGTTTACTACTTTTTTATAGATATTTAAATTTACAATTTATTCAGGTTTAATTTGCGGATTTTACAATTTTTCTTTCGAGTGGACGACCGTTTATGTAGAAGGATAGCGAACGAATAAACTTAAAGCTATTGCTTGGCCATTACATAGATATCAGATGTTTGTTCTTAGGTAAGTATTAATTCATTAATATAGTATAAAGGGTAAGTGCAAAATATATTTCCTAATATTTAAAGCTCGGTTAAATTCGGACCCATGTCACACATTTTTTTACCCTTTGCCCTTAATTTAAAATCGAATACGAACAGAGAAAGGGGCAATCAAAATGCGATATTTTTTGGTAAATCACGATTAATTATTTACGAGCTAGAGCTCTTGTTAAAAATCGACTATCCAGCTATTCGATTAGTCGACTAGTCGATTAGCAAATTTTTTTGTCGGTTGATAGTCGAGTAGCAAATATTCGATTAACCGCTCGCATTCGACTAACTGTTCACTTTCGACTAACCGCTCGCTATCGAGTGTTCTGAAAATCGACTTACCGAAATTATTCGAATAGTGACAACTTTTCACCATAAAATTATTATTATTAGGGCGGTTGGGTTTTATCAATAAGCATAGGTATTCAAAAAATATAAATAAATGTTTACTCAAAGAAAACAACTAGTCGACAAATCGAAAGTGAACGTATAGTCGACTAGTTATATGTGAGCGGTTAGTTGAAAAAGTCGAAAAGAAACGGTTAGTCGATTAACAAGTAGGGACACGATATCGAACCTAAAGTATCGATATAGTACAAATTTAAAGTACCGCTGTAAATATATCGGGTACCCATTATTATCGGCATAAAAAGAATCGATATTCCCAATATCTCGATTCAGTCTGAACCTTTCCACGAATTCTGCGTCTCTCAGAAAGATATTATTCATTCTCTCTCTATACCGATACACTCTAGGAACGTTTCGTTTTCACTTTCGGAATCACTTGACCACATATGTACAGCAAAATGGTATGCTAATGGGAAAATACTACACTAAACTGAATCTACTCAGCTTTCGAGACAGGTAGAAAATTGTTTACAATTGTAGAAAAATCCGTAACACAACTGTGTTCGTTGTGTTACAGAAACAGACACAATTGTAATTACAAGTGCGCCACATGTAACTACAAGTTGCTATGTGTTACAAAATATCTACACTTGTTTAATTTATTTGAACAATTGTAGGACTTGCAGCGCTGTTACAGGCCCCAGGTCTTTTTACACAGAAATCTGATAAATCTGACATATATATAACGTCTGATATTTAGCGAGTTTAAATGCAAATTTTGTAAAAATTTGTTGTCACTGTATAATCTTCTAATTCGTGCAAGCGAACGGTGCAGACGTGTCGCGACGGAGCGTCGCAACTGATTTAGCGCGTTCTAGAATGCTTTATATCGAAAAAATCAAAAAAAGTCCCTTTTTAATTAATTTATATGTAAAAGGTCCTGATCGCTGTTCTTTCGCGAAAGTTTACAAACCGAATGTAGAATATCCGGTCGGGTAGAGGTAGCTAAATACATCAATTCCCCGATCAGCGACTGATACTCCCTTTTATCCACACGTCTGCACTTTGCGTCATCACAGCTTACTTGGAATCCGGCATTTAACGGCGTAACTACAGTCAGACATACCATACTGGCTCAATAGATAAGCAATGTATTTTCTTTGGCCAAGTGTAATTGCGCCCGTTTCCCCTTCACGCTGGATCTCCAATCCCAGAATATATCGTAATTTTCCACCTTTAACCAAATCGAATTCGTCTGCGATTTTTCCTTTAATCGCAGCTACGTCCTCTAACCGCGCCTAAGTCGTCTTCATATACAGCTATTATGCTATAGTTACCGTTCTCGTGCTTCGTACATACGCAAGGCTCGCTGACGCATGACGAATACCCAAATGACTTCAAAACAGTGTCCAACTTTGAATTCCATTCGCGCCCGCTTTGTTTTAATCTATATAGCGCCTTATTCAGCTTCAATACTCGGTGTGGAAACTCTTCGCAAACAATCCCCTCAGTCTGTGTCATATAAATGGCTTCGTATAAACCGCTATTTAGGAATGCTAAAGATATGTCCATTTGGTGCCAATGCAACTCATGCTCACAACGAACCGCCGCAAACCTTAACACCGGTAAAAACATTTCAGTGCAGTTCACTACAAAGCGCTGACTGCACCCCTTTCCCACCAAACGACTCTTAAAGCGTTGAACACTGCCATCTGCGTTTTTCTTTACGTTGTAGACCCACTTGTTGCTTATGACATTTTCACCAGGAGGGACGTTCATCAACGACCAAGTTTCATTCTTAACTAGGGCATCATACTCCTCCTTCATGGAGGCCCTCCACTCTGCTGCATGCTCGCTCTTCAACGCCTAGCTTACGGACTTTGGTACTGTATGCGCCGTTCATTCCGAGGACGACCACGGCTTCCACTGCGTACTAATTTTGGTCTGCCCGGACCGTACCGCACTTCACCTGCACAATCGTTGTCTTCATCATTACCTTCACCTTTAACTTCGCCTCCGGACTCCTCCGCAACGTTTAGCGCCGATTCACGCTCAGCATTTTGCTCGTTAACATCTGGGCTAACAACTTCATTTCCAAATGATGTGATATCGATTTGTTCGCGTTCGTGACCAAGGTATACATTTTCCATGAAAATTACATCTCTACTAGTAATCACCTTCGCCTGTTTGGGTTAAGATGCGTTACTGTAGGCTCTTTACCCGTATAAACTTCGTACGGCGTTTTATTAGCCAGCGCTTTTGTTGCTGCTCTGTTCCGGAGGTAAACTGCCGTCGACACCGCCTCTGCCCAAAAATCTTCGTCCAACATACTATGCGCCAACATGCTGCGTGCCATCTCAACGAAGGTTCGATTAGCTCGTTTGGCCACGCCGTTTTGTTGAGGTGTGTACGGGGCTGTCAACTGGCGTTGTATACCATTATCAACTAAAAGCTTTTCAAACTCTTCGTTCAGGTATTCACGGCCATTATTGTTTCTCTACATTTTGATTTTCCTATCACTCTGTTTTTCTACCATTTGTTTAAATGACTTTAACGCAGCGAACACCTCACTTTTTGCCTTTAAAAAGTACACAAATATATACCGGGATTTGTCGTCGATGACCGTGAGAAAATACCTGGAGCCGTCAATTGAATTCTTATTCATAGGGCCACACAAATCATAGTGCATCAGTTCGAGTAAGGTTCTTGCACGACTTCTCGATGTTTGGGCAAAAGGCTTAACACAAATATTGCTCTTTGCACATGTTACGCAATCACTTTTATTTACATTATTTGTAAACTTTAGGCAGTGTACGAGTTGTTTATTTGACATTTCACATAAACTATCAAAGTTTAAGTGGCCGAATCGGTTATGCTAAATCGTAATTTCGTTCTCTTGTATCGCACCAAAACATTTGTACGTTTTTCTCTTATACACAAACAAGCCACCAACTTGATGCGCTCTTATCAATACTGCTCCCTGCTCGTCTTTTATCACCGCTTGATTATTCTCAAAATTTACGTCTAATCCGTGATCACATGCTTTGCTTACCGACACGAAATTGCACTTCAAGTCGGGTACATGCAAAACGTTATGTAGTTTAACTCTACTGCTCTCAGTTTGCAAGCTAACTTCACCAATTCTGTTCGCTTCTATATACTTGTTTCCCGCCAATTCAATTCTCTCTTTACGCTCTTTATATGTCACAAATAATGTCCGGTCACAGTACAGGTGTGCAGCTGCACCGCTATCAATGCACCACTCATCTCTTTTTAACTCGTAAGGAGAAATATAAGCAAGAACAGCGAATAATTTATCATCTCTATCTCAAAATGCCCGAATTTTCCGCAGTTAAAACATTTACCCCCGCGCCTTCTGTCGTTGTTGTTTCCCTTGTGGTTACTAGCAGGAATGTTTTGGATATTCGTTTGCGCCACTAGTGCATGCTGCAAATCTAGAATACCGGTTTTATCGCCGTCGCGCCTGGCCCCCTCCTCGAGCAATTTAACTTTTTAGTGCAGTTAGTGTAGGCAAAGTATCTTGAGACTCGATTGCCACGACGAATTTCTCATACGATTTTTGGCATTCACGCCGTTATACAATGCTTTACGTGATTCACCTGTAACGGTTTTATGCATAACATAATGCTAGCTAATGCCTTTTCATCCTTGGTGTCAAATGCGACTGCCTTTTCATTCTTGGTGTCAAATGCTACTGCCTCTTCGGCTGTAATATTTTCGCCTTTCACAAGTTTTCCACTGGTGATTGCCCATAAGTCTGTGTGGACTAAGACGCTCCTCCAGCTTATCAATCCAATATAGTCCGGTGAAACTCATTTTGATTTTGATTACTCTCAACTTTACTTGTATGTACTTCTTTTCAATTTTAACTTTTTGCGGTCTGGGCCCATAACCTATCGGGGGTTATGGGACTTACTTACTTGCGAAGTACGATTGCTGAGAAAAGAATAGACGGAGCTTATAACTTAAGCCTACGAACGTTTATTTGCGAGTGAATGTAATGTTACACATCTACGTGTCTGCATAGCTAACCAACAAAGGGAATGACATTTCGAAGAAACAGTAATGGTTAATATATCATGTTGCTTAATAATTCTTACAACCAACAATATATAGTAAAATTTCATGGGAAATATTTTCGTAGAATGTTTTAACCCATTAGCTCCCATCTGTAAAGGCCGTTTTGACCCTTTCTTCAAGAAACCCCACAAAATGCAAATTTGGAAGTTTGTTAGAGGATTAATATATTCTAGAAAATTATTCTTCGGAAAATTTTACTAGGGGTCTTCTCAGGCAAAAATTTCATGCCACCAATGTAAAAGTCTCTATGTATAAAATTAAATCGCCAAGAAGGTATAACTCAAATTTCAAAAATTTTGTTTTTTGAATTTAGTTTGACTATTATTCCTTCCTGGCATAGATTTTTTTATTTAAATTTTTTAGAAATCTACGTTGGCGGTACAAAATTTTTACTTGTGAAGACTCCCAGTAAAATTTTCCGAAGAATAATTTTCTAGAATATATCAATCCTCTAAAGAACTTCCAAATTTGCTTTTTTCGGAGTTTCTTGAAGTAAGGGTCAAAACAACCTTTTAAGGCGGGAGCTAATGGGTTAAAATGTTCTACGAAAATATATCTCATGAAATTTTAATATACATATATGTCTTAACCTTTAACTTCGCTCAGACATATATTTTAACAATTTTTTCACTTTTTTGAAAACTACTTAGGCCAGGACATGAAAACTTTAGTAAGCCATAAAACAAAAATACGAGCTAAGTTGTGCAAATCCGTCGAGTGTTTTTTTACTGGATATTTTTACTTTCAGAAAATGTTAGCAAAGTCCGGGCTGGTTTGAATTGTCATAAAATTGTCGCACATTGTATAAGATAATGGTAGTAAGAATTGCAACAAGCACATCATTTTGACGTTATGGTGTCCACGGCGAAAAATTCAGCTATCGCCCTAACACCACCTTATTGAATTCGTCTTGGAACTGCTTTAAGCTATTACAAACAACCGTTATGCGAACAAATTTATAATACACTGTGCACAAATGCGCTAGCGTATAAAAAAATTCTCCAAAATATTTTTGCGGTATTCATCAAATATAGACGAGTTGGTGTTTCTTCTGTGTAGTGTAAAAAAGTGTAAAGTTGCGAAAGATAAACCCCTTACCTGATTTTACAAAAAGGACACCACGGAATATCTAAGTAATATTCAATCTTCGATGAAATTCACATTACCTACATATTCACATCACTTCTAAATTAAGGACATAAACACGAACCCGTCATTTTGTACCTCTAGTCTGAAAGGTTTTGTAACCATAGACTTAAATAAATAAATATGAAATGAAATGAAATAAAAATGACACTGACACAACGTCGAACCAGTAGATCATAAATTCATAACAAACTCTAAAAGGCTTTTAGTGACTTACCACGTTTATGTAAATCATCACGCACTATTTGGCCGGATAAATTCGTTACTGTTGGTGTGGGTGGCAGGGCTAGATGAGCCGGTGTTGCATTACCGGGATACCAGGCCCAACCGCCTGATTGTCCATTGAACATGCGTAACTTCTCGTACACGGATTCATTTTGTTGTTGTGCTTGTTGTTCTTTCTGTGAGGCTAAATTCCGCAGAACCCGATTTATCGAGGAAACCTGTTAATGAACCACATATTAGTTCGATGTCATTAAAAGAAGTAAAGTTATTAAGCCTACAAGCTTTACAGCCCAACCTGAAACTCGTATAAACGCACGGCATTTCTTTACGCACTCCGTCTAATTTGCTTAACCGCTTCACCCTAAATTGACTTCCGTGCGTTTGCATTTGATTTTACTGAGCGAATGGTCGAATAAAAATCTCACGCAAAACAAAAATTGGAAATTGAGTTAAAGCTCAGTTAGTCTAGGCTTAACTCAATTTAACTCAATATCACTCAATACATCAGCTTAAGCCAGATGCGAAAATATTTTTTATTTTTTTCACCTGTTTCAAAGCTTGCTGAATACAGTAACAAAACCGATTATTCCGTATTGAGCAATATCCTGGAAGTGCTTTATGGCTTGACAACTTAGTGAGCATAAGAAGTCGCGACCTTCAAGGGCACTTGATGCTTTAAAAGCATTCTTTGAGGATCCCGTCCAACTCACGGACAAAATGATACTGAATTATGCTTCAGCAAGCCCTAATAGGTAATAATTCCTGAAAAGAGCACTTGCAGAGTCTGCTATGTGCTGGATGCATGCTCGAAGATGGCAATACTGAGCCCAGTGTCAGGCTGCAATAAACTTTTCCAAAACTACATATGTACATCTAGACTTATGGACAACCGCAAAACTTGTTTGAACCAGCTATGCACGCATAACAGGATCACCTTTTGGTGGGTACCGGACCATGAGGGTTTTAGTGCCAACGAAAGAGCCGACGCTCCCGAAAAACGTGGGTACAAATGGTGCCCATATATCCACTCCATTTCTATGCTCCATGAAAAGTATACACAGTAGAGCTCCTAAGGGAAAAAGCAATCTCTGAACGACTTCTGAATTTTAGTCGAGAGCATCTGAGAACTTTCACAGGCTACCTGACAGGGCTACAAATGTATTATGCGATCGTCTCTGTCCAGGATCTGGAACATGACACCATCTAAAATGTTGTTTAATTTCATAAATGGCATAAGGTTGAATCGAACTTCTATGGGGTTAGCACAATAGGTCGATGTTATTTCCACAAATAATGATAAAATCTACTCAGTTTAATAATAATAATAAACAAAATATTTGGTCTTCATTACGGAGAATTTAACTTAATAAAAGTATGTTCCAGCGTTATAAAATATCTAGTTCACAAAGCACCCTTTTTTGTAAAATATCACCCGAAACAAAACCTAGTGTAGTTCAGGGCTGGCGAGTCTAAGGCACGCGTGCCATTAATGGCACGCAACAAAATAATTTGGGCACGGTATTAATTGAGGACTCAGTTCCCCAATTACTAGAAGTAGTATTTACTATCTAATAGACACAATTTGTTTCTCGTTTAAATTGGAGATGAAAGCAAGGTCTACTCACACCCAAGAAAACACGTCAGAAGAGCCAAAAATACAGACAGTAACAAGGTGTATAAACAAGGTGTGATTGACAACTCAGATCGGCTCTCTTTTAAGATACTACTATGCCAAAAATACAAACAAACAACTCACAATTTATAAAATTTCTTTTCGATTTGATTTAGGATGGTTCTTATGAGAGCAATGTCAAATTGAATCACAATTTGTTAAATACATTTTGCACAGTAACCAACATCCCACCATGCAAAACATGAGAAATAGGCAACAATCGTCAATGGCAACAAATTGGCGACTCACCGATTTATTGCTGTGGTGACAAATCGGCAACATCACTTCGTTCATGTCAATTTTGAATAAAAAAGTTCTCAAAAATTCCGAAACTTATGAATATGGCGTCAATAGTATTGGCCAAAAGCGTCTAAATTATGCCCAAGGACAAGATTGAAAAAATAGGAAGTCTCACAGCGAGAAAATGAATTAATTCCGATTGTAAGTTGCAATTTGGTATACAAATGAGGTATTAAAAAGAATAAAATTATTCCAAATATCGCCTGAAGCGATAAGAAAAGGACTCATTCAGATAATAAGAAAACGACTCGCCCAGGCGAGTTGCCTTCGGCGGACGTTTTAGAGCGACCGGTAATAAGAAATCGATTCGATGGCAATATTACCGGCAATAAATTTGTTTCCGAGGGCGACACGTTTTCTTATTACCGGCAACACAAATTGTTTGGTGGGAAAATCCACATAAGACATAAATTCTCATCGACGAATTTTATAAAGACTTAAATTTATTATGTATCCTGATGTGACTTCACTTGATAAACTGAACTTGTTTAAATTTGCTAATACAAAAATTTTGGAAGCTTGGAATTTAATTCCAGACATTTAGATGTCTGCAGGAGCTGGCGTTTGCACACAAGGTACACAGATACATTCAAGAGACGCTTAATTCATTTTTTTTTTTGAATGTTTTCACGATTTTAGTGTCAACCAATGTCTCCAAGAAAGGTTGGAGGAGTCAAAGAGGTTTTTGGCACGTCATGGCTACATTGAATAATTTTTTGGAAATAATGACACGTGTATGTACAAAGGTTTTTTTTTCAAACAAACGTTATGTTCGTACTTAATGCACTTATCTATTAACAGCTTCGTTATTTATCATCCCATTTTAAAAACCGAACATGTTTAACATGTGCTTTAAAATGGTGGATGTACACTGAAGGAAAAAATATTAAAATTATTCAGAAACCTAGTTGATCTTACTATAAACGTCAACGAAAGTACTGTATATTGGTAAATATTCAATTCAATTACGCGCATATTAAAATTAACGCGTTCGTCCTGAAAAAGCATCCGTGAAGTGAAATAATCAAGATGAAATCAAAACAAAAATATTTAAATTGCATGTTGTCTTCAATGGAACTCGAACCCTGACCATATCTGGATATCAACAAATTGTGGCAATCATCTTTGCGCACTCAGCTACAGCCAGACATATAAATATTCATAAATAAAATACATAAGTAAATCCTTGAATAAAGCATGAAGATTTAATGAAGTATACGTAGTTTAAAACGATGATCGTAGCATTATTTAAACACATAAACACATAAAGAAAAACTTTATTAAAAAAATAAATAAAGCAATGTTGTCATTTTAAAAAGAACTAGTAAAGCCCCGTTGTCGAAATTCGACCACCTCACTTTTTCATACACCCTCGCTTTGTTTGTGGCGATTTTAGGTCCATGAGAACCTTTTGAACGTCCACGTAAGTAATAGTATTAGGTGGAGTGATATCTTTTCCGTTAAATAATTCTATAATTCATAGGAGCAGTAGGGAGGAATAGATTTGTATGGGATTTCGTTAGCGTATTAATATATAGATAGTAGATGGTGAAACCAAAGCAGGCATTCATAGGCTTATACGGAAATTGGAATAACTCGGCTCTGGAGCCACCTATTCTATTCATTGAAAAATCATTGATTATCAGGGTGGGCAAAAACTCGAAGTTCGAGCGAGCGAGCGAGCAAACTCCTACTCACTGCCTCGCAGGCAACGAGGAGCTCGCAGCTCGTACTCGTAGCAGCAATGAGGCGAGGAACGAGAAGTTTGGCTTGCTCGGCAAACGAGCGAGCGCTGCTTGTTTGCTCGCGCTCCTATTAAACGAGCGAGGTTGTTGTGTGTTGCCTCGCTCGCAGTGCGAGGCGAGTAGCTGTCTGCGAGTGTCCGAGTGTATGTTAATAATTGTATGTACATGTACTTAGTAACCTTATCTATTAACAGCTTCGTTATTTTTCATCCCATTTTATAAACCGAACATGTTTAACATGTGCTTTAAAATGGTGAATGTACACTGAAGGAAAAAAATATTAAAATTAATCAGAAACCTAGTTGATCTTACTATAAACGTCAACGAAAGTACTGTATATTGGTAAATATTCAATTCAATTACGCGCATATTAAAATGACCGCGTTCGTCCTGAAAACGAATCCGTGAAGTGAAATAATCAAGATGAAAACAAAATAAAAATATTTGATTTGCATGTTGTCTTCAATGGAACTCGAACCCTGACATTAGGGCGGGTCAATTTGTATGGATCGATTTTTTTCGACATTGTTCCTAGCATATTCGGATTCTTCATAAAATTCTAAGAAAAAAATTCCTCCAGACCATAGCTCTAAAGTCAATTCCGAGCCTGCGCATTTTTAAAAGAAGATATCTTATATATAAAAATGAATTACTGTCCGTTAGCCTCGCTAAGACTCGAAAACAGCTTGACCGATTTGAGAGTTACCACCTGTTTGAAAATTTCAATATAAGTAAATTAATTACATAAATTAGATATTGCACTATGGGTGTCAAAAGAAAGAGGTTATGAAGGCTTATAGGCGAAAATATTTTTGAGANAATTACTGTCCGTTAGCCTCGCTAAGACTCGAAAACAGCTTGACCGATTTGAGAGTTACCACCTGTTTGAAAATTTCAATATAAGTAAATTAATTACATAAATTAGATATTGCACTATGGGTGTCAAAAGAAAGAGGTTATGAAGGCTTATAGGCGAAAATATTTTTGAGAGGGGTTGCCACCTGTTTCAAAATTTAATTAAATGAAATTGATAAGATAAATTAAATATTGCAATATGGGTATCAAAATAAAAAGGTTTAAGAAGGCTTACTACTGAAAATATTTGCCACCGAGTTGCCACCAATTTCGAAAATTTAATTCAATTAAGTTAATAAGATAAAGTATGTATTATAATATAGGTGTCGAACGAAAAGTATTTGGGAAATTATTGGTTAAGAAATATTTTCTATAGGCCTGCCACCTACCTGAGCGATAAAACCTAAAAGCTATACCCGCAAATATTTTTCAAAGCTTTTGAGGCTCGCATCAATGTGGTATACTGTAACTCCGTCAAGTTAGTGTTTATTGATGGGAAACAAAGTACTATCATCAAAGAACGTAGATAACAAGAAGGGACAACTCGTTATAATTGTGGCGAAAGTGCGCAACAGGGGCGTGCCTTCTCTTTTCATCCAATCAGAAAACGCACTGGGGCAAAAGGGAAGGCACGCGCCTGTTGCGC